TCTTGCTTTCTTATCCAATCATAGCGATTAAAGCATTTGATTAACACAATTTACGACAAATTATTATTTATATAGCAAGTGTAATTAATTGGGTTTATTGCATTCAACACTCTATGTTTTACTCGCTTAATTTCATTTTGCACCCTTGAAAATGTAGTATTTCAGTATTTTACCCCCTCAAAAAACAAAAATAAAAATTAATAGCATTTTACTTTACACTCTCGAAACATAGCAAATAAATCACAATGCATCTTGAATTGAATTTTAAAATTTGATCATAATTTCATGTTTTATTGGTTATTGATTTATAGGGTGCCAAATAACAAATTTCATTGTTACTTTGTTATACCTCAAACATAAGTTTGAGTGTATAAACAGCGAAAAATAAAAATTATAATGAACTAGTAATACACCCGTGCGATGCACGGTTATTACGTATTGTTAAATATTTTTAGTGGAAAATATATATTTGTAATAGTTAATTGAATAAAAATGTGAAAAAATATAGGTTTATTTAAATTACTTAGTACCATGTGTATTAGCGACTTCAGAGCACCATAGTTAGAACACAACATATACTACTTTTTAGCATTACCGACCTTGATATAATTACTTGAACATGTTGATCTAAAAAGAACAAATCCCTGAGCATAGTTTTAACAATGAAATTAGTTTGATTTTAATGTTTATAGTGATTGCAAAAACAGTTAACGAACACAGAGGAAGATGATGATGCAATCCCAAAAGCTATGACAACATGAGGACTAAATGCAAAAACCAAAGTGAATTTTATTCAACCACCATCAAAATCAATTCACACGTAAATATCACTATATAAATGTTGATGCGAATTAATGGTTTCATAACGTTGTTCTATCCTAAAGCATCGAACACTTGTAGATGGTTAACCTATAGAAGACAAAATACGATTAATGGTATTTTAACTAATTATTGCAAAATAATATTGAAAAAGACCAAACATTGCGGCAAAGTGACACAAAGATGTAAAAACAGGTTAACTTGAAGTAACGTCCAAAATAAGAATTCCTATAAATACTAAAGACTAAAAAAATTCCATGATTTCTAAAATCTCTAGATTTGCATGATTTCATAGCAGAACATGAACATGAATAATAAACATCCACACAACAATCGAAATATAGAAACTCAAAGATTTAACCGAGAAACTCAGCCAAAGCCGAAAACAGAATTATTGCAAAAGCAAACAACTTCTTAAAATTTCTAGTGGAATAGCAAAGGTTTGAATAAAACCTACATTAGAATATAATAATTCATACATGCAATTTTGTCAGAAACTGGTGCATATATTAGGGTGAAATACACCTAACGATCGGACAAATTCGATCACTTGGTTGTGTTTATAGTCAAACAAATCAAATATCTGCATAGAGATGCATATGCTGTTAACAGAGTTTCTCTGGTTTATGTTCCTAAAGAGTGCTAGTTGGAATTCTTCCTGATGAATTGCACAAAATTCACTATCAATAATTGAAAACTTTCAAATTTGTCGACGAGCCATTAAATCAATTAATAATATTAATAAGTGCAAGTGAATTTAAAAAGTTCGTATGAAGCTTATACTTCACTCACTGTGACTGCAACACATAAAATCATATCAATCAGTTTCTTGCATTAAATCATTAAAAAATCAACTAATTTGAAGTGTTATAAGGTGGGGTCCTCATAACCAGGGGTATGTTTAGTAATTTTGGAGTGAAAGCATCCCATCAGAGCAGCAAAGACAATCGATTTATTTACACTCGTAAAATTGAATCAAACCAAGTCAAAAAAAATTCCCATAAGTTTGTACGATCAACTTAAACTGAGATACCTTATCATAAATCCGACGAGAGGCAAAATCCATGGAAATAACACGCACAGATGATTTTCTAAAATTTTCAGCCAAACGAATTAAGAAACAATACGGAAATGTCGAAGACTCCCTCAAAATTTATCATCAAAAAAATTTCTCCCCGATCAATAAATACTACATGCACACAAACCTTAGTATATAAGGCGATTCTATGGATGGTGATAGGAAAAAAATAAAAAAAAAACAGAACGACTGGTTTTCCAGGGAAAGAAAAAAGCAGCCTCCAACAATTTATTCTAAATTTTTTTTACTATAATTAGTGACAATATTTGATAGAAATCTTTGGAAGAAACCATAATTTCAAAATAACTTGATAACAAAATAGTTGAAGGGTTTTCTTTGTTCTTTTTATATTTCGTATTTCTTTTTAATATGTTGATGAGATGTATTTTTATTTTTGCAAACTGTAGTTTTGAAAGGATTGATGAAAAAAAAAATATTTGACATTTGTTATCCTAAAAAAATATCACTAAAAATACTAATTTCATTCACTAGCTTTTAAAAATTCATTCAGTGGTGCGTTATGCGTGATTTATTTTATTTCGAGGGAATGAAGTGCTATTAATTGTTTTCGAGTGTGCAAAATGCCAAAATGTATATTTCAAGGATGCAAATTGAGATTAAGCATATTTACTTTAATTGTTAAAAAGCTCACCACATTATTAATATTATCAAAACTAACTTAAAAATGTGGTTAGTTTTGATAATATTTAAAAACTACTTATTAAATTAAGGAGTTGTGTGCTAATATTTTCTTGCAAACCTTGAAAAAAGCATCAATTTTATTTATTTTGTAATATTAATTAAATCAAAAGTTGTTAAGCAATATTGTTCCATGTGATCGACGACTCACACTTGCCCATCCGATGGGCCCCACTTTATGGGTTAATTTTGGCGGGTAATGGTTTTATTTGATTGATTGAATAAATGTATGCATGACACGTGCCTTTATAAATTAATTACGAATTATTTAAAATATTCCTAAAACAGTAAAAACATCATCGTCACTATGTGACAAATAACAATCAATATGTATTTTAACAATTGACAATAAATAAGTATTTTAATTTTGTATTCTAAATAGGTAGACTAAGATATAATAAATATATAACCATGATATCATTATCATGAAACTCATTAAACAAACAATTCAATCTTCCACGTCATCAATCAATAGACTAAATTTGCAAAGTGACATAATCTCCAAGTATGTGATGTTAAATGGTCAAAATTATTATATTCCTTTTAATTAAACAACTTTCTAAATTGTAATTATTAATCTCCATTTGAGTATCATGTAACTTGATTTATTACTCAACCCTCTATGAATTGAAAGACCCATGTTCCAGAAAGTTCCGAAATCTTAATGACAAAAAATAAGCGCGAAACAAAAAACAATAAACTAGAGGGATACATCTTAACAACTGACGACCGTGGGGCCGCCAGTTTGCGAAGGATGGTCGATCCAACGGAGATTTCTAGATTCAACGCTAGAGGCGTCACTCAGAAACCGAAAACCAAAATTGAAACTGAAATCGATAACTAATTTGAATTAGTTAGATTGGATATTAATACATAAAAATTGTTGTCAATAGTTGATATCATAAAATTAAATAATATACATAAGAAGTCGAGGGCCAGCTTTTTAAAATTTAGGGCAAATTACTACCAACCCCTGAGGTTAAGTTAAATTACAAAACTACCTTTCATGTTTGCATGATTACAAGCACCCAAAAATCGCTCTAGTTGATAAATTTTGGGGTGCTCATTCGGTAAAATTGTAAATAAATCGCGGTACGCCAAAAATTCATAACGTTTAGCGTTTGGTTCGATAAATACCGAATTACCAAAATTTTATTAAAAATATTTAAAAAAATTGATTTCTTAAAAATTAATTTTAGTTTAAATACTAATATTACACATATAAATATATATACAAAATAAAATAAAATTGAATACCACACCAAATTAACAGCTCGGTAATCGGCATGTACGAATTTTCGTTCGGTTCGATTAGATTGGTCTACTGACCAGATAAACACCCCTAGATAAATTTGATATCGTAAAGGTGTACGCATAAGACAATAAATAGTTAATGAAGTGATTGTAATTATACAAATAATAAATGATTTTTTCGTAATTATAACTTACCTCGTGATTGTGGCGGCCGTAGTTTGGCTTGAAATTTATAAGGGACCCATAAACTTTTGATTGGGATTGATGATGTGAGACACTAATTATTGGGAAACAAATTATTGGGATTATTTTAGAGAAAAATAGCATTCAATAAACAAATATTAAATACATAAATATTCATAGATATTAATTAAATAACTCAATTAAAATATAGTATTATTATCAAATCTCTTTAAAAATAGTTAGTAGGTGATGCATGTATACGTGGACTAGTTGACTGAATTAAGAGTGTTGGAAAAACAAATATGTAAGCAAAAGTTAAATGAAAGAAACTACGTTGAAACTCAATGCCCAATAAAACAAAATTCCAAAGGAAATAAACAAAATTATATTCTTTTTTGGCGGCCTCAACTTCTTAAATAACTATTTTTTTCACGATTTTATATCTATGGGCCTATGGCCGAAAGATAAACCAAATTACTTGATACTCGATTCCTGCTTGTTTTATCAAAATTTTGTCGAGCTCGATTCTTTTTTACTTGAGGACCAAACTTGATCAAATATGTTGTTTAACAATGAAACTTGATTCGAACTCGAGTGCAGTTAGATAACAAATGCTAAAATATGTACGAACACCAACTCAATTTGTAATATTTGTGTTTAGTTCGATTAAAGATTGTTGAAACTCGACTCGATTATTTATGAAACTGAACTCAAACACAACTTTGAAAAATCGATAAGAATTCAACCAAACTTAAACAACCACACACACACACACACACACACACACACACACACACTATGTCTTCACACGGTTATTTCAATGTCACTTCCGGTGAAGACTACACTTGGTGATTTTTTACCGTTGATCTACACACACTAATATGGGTCTGTGTGTGTTTATGTGTATATGAATGGTAATGATCTACCCAATATCTCACCCGATGTAGCATAGAATAGACCGTGTTCACACTAAACTAACATATCCTCGTTTCATCAAGTTGATGAAGTTTCACACGCACACCCATATTACTTTTATATATATACACACACATCACACACTAAACACATCCATAAACACACACACACACACACAAATAGGACCACAAAATGGAGAAGATTCCTTACTACTTTTTCTTCTTTGCTTTTGCACTCACATTTTTTATCAACACTTCATCAATTTGCTCAGCCACACTAACACCTTTAAACTCTACCACAGATCAAGAAGCACTAGTTGCCTTCAAAAACTCCATCACTTTAAACCCTAGTGGCATTTTAGCAAATAATTGGTCCACAACAATCAATTCAACTTCATCCATCAACATTTGTTCTTGGATTGGCATATCTTGCACCACCAAACACCAAAGAGTCACAACCCTAAACATCTCCGGTTTTCGAATCTCCGGAAAGCTCCCTCCGCAACTCGTCAACTTAACTTTCCTCAGAGTTTTCGACGTAAGTTCGAACGGTTTCACGGGAGAAATCCCCTCGTGGATAGGAAGTCTACCCCGGCTCGAGATACTCGATTTGAACAACAACTCTTTCGGTGGAACCGTGCCGAAGTCTTTGTTCGATTCGTCGAGGCTCAAAAGCTTGGATTTGAGTTACAACCTTCTTAGTGGGACCATACCAAAGGAGATTGGCAATAGTAATTCTTCTTCATTGGAAGAGTTGAGTTTGATGTTTAACCATTTTCATGGCAGAATTCCTAGTGGGATTGGAAATTTGAAAATGCTTAAGATGCTATTGCTTGGAGTCAACGATTTCGAAGGTAGGTTCCCACACACACACGGTCTCTTATCCATGTTACTTTTCTTTTAGCCATTGACTATTGTCCCTAATTCATTTGTTTATAATTAGGGGTAGAAATTAGTGTAAATTCCACTTTACTTTGGCTCGATATCACTTTGCCTCATTCTACTCTCAATTGAATCAATTTGCCATATGTACTTGAAAAATTGTCTCAATGTGATCCTAGCCGTTAGTTTTCAGATCTTTGACCTTAACACCGTTTGATCCAAATCTGAAAATTACAAAAAGAACCACCTCTCCCACTTTAAATAATTATTAAAAAAAATGAAAAAAAAAAATTATAGCTGGCCTCGTGGACTATGTTTTCTCGTTGCGTTGAATTTTATATTATTTTATTTTATTTTTTATTTTTTTAATAATTATTTAAATTGAGAGGGGTTGTTTTTTTGTAACTTTAAGACTTAGATCAAACGGTGTTAAAGTCAAATGTCTAAAAACTAGCGATGAGGGCCAGATTGAGACAATTTTTCAAGTATGCCAAATCGATGCAATTGAGAGTAGAAGGGTGTAAAGTGATATTGAGCCAAAATACAAGGGGAAAGTGGAATTTATCATAGAAATTAAAACGGGATTTCTGGTTTCCGCCGACTACTGATCCAAATTTTTTTTACTTTGGAACAATATTTTTTTTTATTCCTATCTAATTTCAGTTTTTGAAAGTAATTTCGATAACTCCGATTATTTCCGACAATTACACTTATAATATCCATACTATTGTGTATTTTGTATTTTAGTTGACAGAAAAATTGGAGCTTGAATTTCTCCGATTCCGATCAAAACAATTCCAATTTTGTATTCATTTTCCAACTTCGGAAGTTCTGATTTCCCAACTTTTCCGATTTTTTGGGAACAAAATTGGAATTAATTTTTCAGTCCCCAAAAAAAATTAATTTTTTTTGGAAAGTGCCGATTTCCACTTCCGGATTGTGTTGATTGTCGACTAATTAAAAACGGACAAAAATACCCCCAGAGAATGACTGCACTCTCGCAAGAACTTTTCTAAAAGTTAGATTAGATACGTACAATTAAACAACGTTGTTCGAAAAATTATAATTTAGCATGATTTGTCCCATTTTCCATGTAAGGGTAACAAAAAACTCATATATATTCTGGAAAATTAAAGATTTTCTAATTTTTGTTTCGGTAATAAATTAATTTCAGGAGGGGTTCCGGTGGAAATCGGAAATCTTTCGCGGTTAGAGGTATTAAGCATTCACGGAGCCTCTCTAACCGGAAACATTCCATCTTCGATATTCAATATTTCTTCATTGGTATATTTGGACCTCTCCAACAACAGTCTTTCCGGAAGCTTCCCAAATATCGAGACTTTTCGCGGTGTATCGAACATTCGAAGGTTGTTTCTTCATGGGAATCTTCTTAGCGGGCCCATTGACTCTACCTTATTCGAATCGAAAAACCTCGTTAGTTTGGTGTTGACTAGTAACAGATTCACAGGGAATATTCCCAAGCAAATTGGGAACATCACTTCCTTGAAATATTTGTACCTTGATAATAACTACTTCACAGGTATGTTAAGTTAACATTTATTCATCTTTCTAAATATGTGTGAAATAACCGAAAACGACATTTAAATTGGAACAGAGGGAGTAATGTTTAGCTTATTGAAAATTGATTATATCATGCATTTTTTTCACTAGCATTCATTTTTTTTCTCTTTCACTAAATATTTATTTATTTGATAAATTACGCCTTTGTCCTTTGATATTCTGTCTAATTACGCCTAAATCTCTTTGAAGTTCTTCTTAAGCGAATCTAGACGGAATTAGGCATGCGTAACCTCCGGGAGTACCACGTAATTTTCCCCAAATTTTAATATTTTGATCTAAAAATATTTTTGGATATAGAGTAAAAAGTAAAAACATCATTTGTTGAATTTAGGTTGGATTTTTGCCATTTTTTCAAGAATGTGAGTCTAGTTGCTATAATGAAACCTAACATGAAGATCAGTGTAATTTACTCTTGAAAACTAATTAACTGACAAGCAATTAATGACAAGGGTAATTCAGTAATTTTCTATAGTTGTTTCTGCTGCAATTCATGTATATTTGTTGCTTGTTTTTACTACGTGCGCAACAACACGAAACGGTATTTATTATCGGACATATGCCCTACTATAGAAAAACAATTTGTCGGTTTAAGTGTTACATGATATATATGACAGGTGAATTTCCGAAGGAGCTTGCTAATCTGGGATCGCTCGAGTTCTTGACCGTGCGCAACAATTCCTTATCCGGTTCGATCCCGTCATCCATTTTCAACATATCAACCCTAAGGATCTTAGATCTTTCGACCAATCAATTCTCCGGAAATCTCCCTTCCGATATAGCAAATTTCCCGGGTTTCAACATCCAACAACTCTTTTTGTACTACAATGCTCTAGGTGGCGAAATCCCAACTTCCATATCGAATGCTTCTACACTCACTATCTTGGACATGAATAGCAACTCGTTCACCGGATTCGTACCAAACTTCGGTAATCTAAGAAACTTGAATTTCCTCGATTTTTGGGGTAATAACTTGACATCGAATGATCAAGAAATGAGCTTCATCACTTCATTAACCAATTGCCAATACTTGCAAGTGTTGGACATCTCGTTCAATCCTCTAAACGGGTTTTTCCCGTCTTCTATCGGGAATCTATCGACTTCTCTTCGTATATTCAGGGCGTTCAATAGCAGCATTCACGGTGTCATCCCTCCGGGAATCGGGAACTTGAGCAGCTTGCAATACGCGCATTTATCGGAAAATAAGTTCATAGGCTCCATCCCACAAACAATCGGGAATTTGAAGCAGCTCCAAAGATTGTATCTTGATGAAAATCGACTCCAAGGGTATATTAGTACTGATATTTGCGAGACGAGTAAATTGGGAGATTTGAATTTGAGAGGCAATTCGTTGATCGGTCCAATACCCGAATGTCTCGGCGAACTCAAGTCCTTAAGGTATTTATATTTGGCCTCAAACAACCTTAATTCCACTATACCTACAAACTTGTGGAATCTAGTAGATATTTTGGCTTTAGATTTGTCTTCAAACAATTTGAGTGGTCAAATTCCATCTCAAATTGGGAGATTTAAATCCATAAACCAATTAGACTTGTCTTCTAATCGGTTTTCGGGTGATATTCCAATCTCAATCGATGGTTGTCAGTCGTTGGAAACCTTATCTTTATCGAACAACATGTTTGAAGGATCCATTCCTCAATCATTTGGAAACATTAAAAGCTTGATGAGATTGGATTTGTCGAACAATTCTCTATCGGGATCGATCCCAAACTCATTAGAATCGCTCCCATTTCTTCGGTATTTCAATGTGTCTTACAACAGACTAGAAGGAGAGATTCCTACTAAGGGCACTTTCGTCAACTTCACCGCTAATTCATTCATCGAGAACTACGCTCTTTGTGGTAACGAAACAAGATTTGAGGTTCCTCCTTGCGTCAAGAATCACGGAAGATTGAAATCGAATTATGCAGTTAAGTTGATGAAGTATATCTTGCCTCCCTTTGTTTCGATTATCCTTCTAGCGACCGTCGTTCTTACAATCGTATATACGCGAAGAAAACCGAAGAAAACACCATCTCCACCTATACTTGCACTTGATTTTGCATGGAGAGTAATTTCATACAGAGAACTTGTAAAGGGAACCGATTCTTTCAACGAAAATAACATTCTCGGAAAAGGGAGCTTCGGTACGGTATTCAAAGGGACTCTTCACGACGGTTTAAACATTGCCGTAAAAGTCTTCAATTCCCAATCGGAAAGAGCCGTAAAGAGCTTCGACACCGAAAGCGAAATACTAAGCAGCATTCGTCATAGGAACTTGGTTCGAATAATCGGTTGTTGTAGTAACACGGAGTTCAAGGCCTTGATTCTCGAGTACATGCCTAACGGGAGCCTTGAGAAATGGTTGTATTATTCGAAGAATCGGGGCTTGGATTTGATGCAAAGGCTGAAAATAGCTATTGATGTTGCATTGGCTTTGGAGTATCTTCATCATTATCATACGTTTCCCGTTGTACACTGCGATATTAAGCCGAGCAACGTGTTGATCGACGAAGATATGGTTGCTCGTGTTGGTGATTTCGGTATTTCGAAGCTATTCGACCATGGGGAGGTTGCGGTCCAAACCAAAACCATTGCAACAATCGGTTATGCAGCACCAGGTTAGTAATGTCTTAATTTTTTTCGGTAAATTACAACCCCTAAGGTATGATTAAATTACGAAAAAACCCTCTTATTTGGGTAATTACAACCACCCCTCAACTATAAATCTTCTTACACATTCACCCTTATGGTGTCAAATTCAAAAGAATCTTCTAGATTCCGTGAAACGTTCTCTAGTTTGTATTCGTTTTGTGCAAAAATACTGTTTTCAATGCACCACAATTTGGTATTTACAAGTCAAGAAACATATTTTATATCATCTTGTTTCAAAATGTAGAGCTCTAGGTTAAGATGCAAACTGAAGAATTTTCCACATAATCTAGAAGATTTCACTAAATTTGACATCACAAGGGAATTTTCATAAATAAAAAATACATGATTTTTGGAACTATTTTCGTTATGTAAAATCGAATAAAAAATGGGAATTTTACCTATATTTGAATTATGATCCAAAGTGAAATCAAAAAAACTGGAAATCAAAATGAAAAAACTTGTTCAAAAATTAGAAAATTTCATATCGGAATTGACGAAAATTAGAAATTTCTTTTAAATTTTCGCGTCCAGTCTGATGACAAAGAAACATTACTTTATTTCTCACATTCTATTTCTAAAACACTTTTTTTTTAAACTCATGACACTCTCAAATATGGTTTGGCTGCTACAGTACAAATAAATATTACTTTTTTTTTTTACTATGATCTCAAAACTTGATTCTATCGGCTAACTAACCATGGTAATCTGATTGATATTAGAGTACGGAACGGAAGGAAAAGTCTCGACAAAAGGGGATGTATACAGCTACGGCGTGACATTGATGGAGATGTTTACGGGGAAGAGGCCGACGAACGAGATGTTCGGCGGAGAAATGGGGTTGAAGGAGTGGGTGAGTGAAGCATTACAAGAGAATAAAGTAAGTGAAATTGTGGCAAATGGTTTGCTTGAGAGAGAAGATGAGAATTACTATGCAAAAGAGGAATGCATTTCATGTGTTTTTCACTTGGCAATGAAATGCTTAGCCTTTTCACCCCATGAGAGAATTGACATGGTCGAAATCGTGGCGGCTCTTCACAAGATCAAAGCCAAAGTTCATAATCTATAAGAACATAATAGTACTCGAAGAAAAAAAAAACGAGACGAGAGACTTTATGAAATAAAATTGTGTACGAGTGTATTGGTGGAGCCAGCATAGGGCCAAGGGTGCTACGATACCTCTAACATTTCTCAAATCCCTATTAATTTATATAAAAATTTAAAAAAATTGTGTACAATATGATTAGCGGGCTAGCGCCCCCCTCTTAGATTTTTTCTAATGCATTCTGCCCCCAAACTTAAAATTCTGGTTTTGCCACTGTATGAGAGGGACTTAGTTAATACTCTATTTGTTCCATAATAACGGTTACTTTGGATGAATATTTATGTTACATATTATCTGTCACTTTAGAGTTTTGGATACACAGTATTGGAAATAAGACATCTGGAAAATTTTCAATTTTTTCGCAAGTGGAAAACTAATTCTAATCCCGTTTCAAGAAAATTTAGAAAAATCGAAAATCGGAATACTGGAAAATGGAACTCAAAAACTTGTTCCAAAATCGATTTTTTTTTGGATCGGGATGAGCAGAGTATGGATCCAAATTTTAGTCACCTATGATACAAAATTGATATTTTATAAGTGTAATATTCGGAAATTAAAATCAATCAAAAATCGAAATTTAATATGCATGCCAACTCCGATTCCAAAAAGAAGTTTCAAGAGATCGGAATATCAGAACTTTCGGGATTCAGAATGGAAATCATTTTTCTAAAATAAAAATAAAAAATGTGTCGAAATCGGCATAATTCAGAATTTCTGTTGCAATTTCCACCCGTGGTCAATAGTCATGACCTCTTCATGATTTCCAGACTAATATTATTTTCACATTATTACTATATTCGAAATTCACTATATAATATAAACTCGATATTAATCGATCATTATAATCTTCACGCGGGTTTTGCTCCGTTTTCCTCGGCGACTAATTTGCCGAGGTGATCCATCAGTAAGTTGAAGTCATCGTCGCTCTTCAAAAGGCTGAGTCGAACATAACAATCTTCGACACTGAACAAACTACCTTCCCTACTTCAAATATTTGCCGCACGAAGGACTTCACTGCAATTTGTGTCTTCTTCTCTTTCACATTTCACCCATGCATAAGCTGCCATTATTAATAAGAAATAGCATAGAATATTAAAGATGGGGCAATTTTTTTTTTGGTGTTGTTTTTTTAATGTAGTTTTTAAAATAGGGTTGTTTTGGGGGTGTAATTGAATTGGGGTTGGACGCCACCCATCACGGCGGCACCGGCAGGAGACGCCAGCTCCAATGGCGTCTCCGTAGAAGACGCCACCGGTGGTGGCGTCTTCTCTTTAAATATTAATATTATAATATTATAATATTATAATATTTTAATATTTTAATATTTTAAATATTATAATATTTTAAATATTTATATTAATATTTTTAATATTTTCTGATTTTTAATTTTTTTTACAAAATAAAATATTAATGATAGTATTATTTATTACATTTTATATATTTTCTCCATTAGTGTTAAATTAATCATTGCTTATATTTATCTAATCAACACAATAACTAGTGTACAATCTTAAAAAATATGTAGACAAAAACAAAATGAGTTCTAGAAAATAAAAGAGTTATATAAAATAAATAGGTCCAAAATAAGTAAAAAAAAATAAAATTGGCACTATGAAGTCAGTGTCATATATATATATGTATATATATATATATATATATATATATATATATATATATATTACATTTGCTTGTTATTTTTTTTTTTTTTCAACTTACTCAAAAAACGAATATACATATTTTACAAACATCAATAAACAATACTCTTGATTTTTTTTATTAGGGTATTTGAAGAAATTAACATAAAATAGGTACATATTTTTAAAATTTAATCAAATTATAATAAATCAATCCAAAATATGATCTTTAAAGTTACACCAGAAAATATAATTTCATACTTCAAAATGCCACTATTAATTGGTCAAATTTTGCGGTACGATTTCTTCCCTTCCAGTTAGTACATTCTATTGAATTTTATAAAAAAATATTAATTTATTGGAAAACCAAAATGCAAAAACGGACAAGATTGTACACTATTTTATTGTGTTGATTAGATAAATATAATGATAATTTAACACTAATGGATAAAATATATAAAATGTTATAAATTGTATACTAATATTAATGTTTTATTTTGTAAAAAAAAATTAAAAATCAGAAAATATTAAAATATCAATATAAATATTAAAATATTAAAATATTATAATATTATAATATTATAATATTAAAATATTAAAATGTTATAATATTATAATATTAAAATATTAAAATATTAATATTTAAAGAGAAGACGCCACCTCCGGAGACGCCGTTGGAGCTGGCGTCTCCTGCCGGTGCCACCGTGGTGGGTGGCGTCCAACCCCAATTTAGTTACACCCCTCAAAACAACCCCATTTTAAAAACTACAATTAAAAATAACACCAAAAAAAAAATTGCCCCTATTAAAGATTCTACTATGTTAATAAAATTACTATAATAGCCCTACAAAATCTTAAGAGACGGGCTTTTCTACCGAGTTTTTTTCGCAATTAGTACCTTTTGTTGTATCGAACTGCTAAAAAACTACCCAAGTTATTTTATTGCAAAAGTCACCCTATGATTTGATTTTTTTAGCAATTAGTACACCTACTTAGAGAGATGTGTGCTAAAAAAATGAATTGGGGGGAGGGGGGGGGACAGGGGGGGGGGGGGGGTTTTCCCAAAAAAAAAACTGGGGAATTTTTAAGGGGGGGTTTTTCCAAAAAAAAGGGGGGTTTTTCCCCAAAAAAAATTAAATCAACGGGGGGGTTTTAAAACCCCAAGGGGGGTTTTGCCCAAAAAAAAAAAACCAAAGGGGGGTTTTTGAAAAAAAAA